TAACATAAAACCCCCTCAACTAAGTTTGTTTTGGGTAAAAACCCTTAAACTAAGTATTTAATGAAAAGACCCCCAAACTAACTTTATTTAGTGAATTAAACCCTCGCCGGTCATAATTACCAGTACTACCGGTAAATCTTCAGTTTAGAGGTTTTATTATTAAACATAAAAATCAATAAAATTCAAAATATAATAACATTATTTAAAAATACGTAATTTTAATTTTCAAAACTAGCATTTTAAAAACAATTTTGTAACTATATGAGTCTGATTTGTTATCCTTTTAAAATCAAATTTATATATGTAGAAATTTAAAATGTAAAAACCAAGAAAATATAACAAAAATTATCTAAAGATATACCTGTAGTAAAAATTATCAAAAATTATAAATATAAAAACAAGAAAAAAGAATAAAAATTATATCTTATTTAATAAAAATGTAATAATAAATCTTCATATGATTTTTATTATATTTTTGGTGTTTTAAAATTTTAATATATATATAAGGTATTTTAGAGTTAAAAATCCATTTTAAAAGGATAAGAAATCACTCATATATTTACAGAAATTTTTAAAATTTTACTTTTGAAAATTAAAATTACGAATTTTTAGATAATGTTATTATATTTTGATTTTTTATTTTTATGATTTTTTATGTTTAATGATAAAACCCCTAAACTAAAGATTTACCGGTAGTACTGGTAATTATGACCGACGGGGGTTTAATTCATTAAATAAAGTTAGTTTGAGGTTTTTTCATTAAATACTTAGTTTTAGGGTTTTTACCCAAAATAAACTTAGTTGAAGGGTTTTTATGTTAAAAATCCTTAATTTATATATATTTTCTTTTCAGGTGGAATCGGTGGCGTGAATGGGTACAGTCGAATCTTTCAAAGTTATATCTTTGAAAGTTAGGTCAATCTTTCATATAGTGAATTACTCCTTTCATTTCTTTTTTATGTTTTAGCTTAGTACAGAAAGTTTAAGAAATTTACATTCTTTTAAAATGTATTTTTGAAGATATGGTTTGAAAATCATTTAACTAATAATAAAAAATATATAAAATTAAATTGGTTGAACAGTTTCCAACAAAATTAAAATTAACTTTAAAATCTCAAAACTTCAAAACATGTTATATATTGAAATATCATAAATCTTTTAAAACATCATATAATTTGAAATAGAGGGAGTATAATTTATTTTACATCATATAGTACAATTTCCCTTAATAATATACTAAGTAATAACCCGCGCCTTACGCGGAATGTGATTATTAGTTTTGTTATTTTTTTAATAAAGAGATATTGTTTAATATGAATATCGCTTCAGTTTTAGATATTTTTTTTTTGTTTTTAATCTTCTAAAATATAAAAATCCTTCTAAATCAATATTTATTTTAGTTTGTTCGGGATAAAATGATTGATGTTTTTGGTTCTTCCGGTGATAACCAAAAAATATTATTATCTGTTTGATTTTCATGTTATATAAATTTTAGATAGTTTTAATGTGAAATAAATGGTTTTATGTTATAGTTTATAAATGGATGATAGTTAAAGAAAACAAAAATTAAATTATTAAGACAAATTATTTTATTACTATCTGGTCGATAGTCAAAAAAATATTAAGCAAAAAAACTTTCAACTTCTAAAAGAATTAAATAATTTAGTTGTGGTGAATATTTAATTTTATATGTACACACATCTGTCGATGTGCACATGCGTATGTAAATATTATATAAAGGTGGTTGATAAATATATAAAGATAATTTTAATTAATACGAAATGATATTTTTACTGAAAATAATACATGAGAAATAAAATTCTTAAAATAAAACTAATTAAAAATAAAATAAGCCTAGACATAATGAAGTTTTTTCATATAAATAAAACCAAATTGTATTCGTAAATAGGGTTGGACATGAATCGAATATCCGAGTATTTGAAGGTATTCGTGCCGATGTGATTCGTAGCCACATGGGTATTCGGTGTCTTGGATACCAATTTGATCCGTAATAAAATAAAATTTCTTAAAATAAACTAAAAATCTAAAAGATAATACAAAATAATAAATTTTATTACAAAATAAAACATTATTTAAAATTTTGAATTGTAATACCTAATATAATAAATTTAATACATAACAATATTGTAATATTTATATAAATTATATTATATATATATATATATATAATTCTTTAAATATATGTATATATATATATATGCATATAACATATCTAATCAGATACCCATTCGTAAAAATATTAATATTTGTGATTTTCTTTGTTGTTTACGGATATTGCATTTTAGAATTTGATTTGTTTCTAGAATTAAGAATATCTATATTTTCGGTTCAAATCAAAATAGAAACGAAAAAGAATAAAAATTTATAAATATTTGTCCAGTCATATCCATAAAGAATAAAAACAATATGTATATATATATATATATATATATATATATATATAATTATCCATTTTGATTAGAGATGAAAAATCAGGATAGTGTTATTTTTATTAGAACCTACATGTGAGTCTTAAAGCATCTCCAAAAAGCCTTCAAACCCTATATTTGTCTGAAATATTCAAATAAATTATATATATATGTAATTAATACTTAAAATATATAAATATACTAAAATAAAATAAAAGATAATATAAAAGAATAATACTTAAATAGAACACTTTGGGTTGATTAATCATATATGGGGACACTATGAAAATAATAGTAGTGAGCAACTTTTAATTTTTATTTTTTTATGAATTAAAGTGTGTTTTCTATTATTATGTTATGTATTTTGTTTTAATATAAATTTTGTTTATAAATATTATGTTTAATTTTTGTAAAGTGTAGTATTATTTATCTATATAAATTTTAGTGATTATCATTAGTTTATATTAAAGTTAGAGACTAAAATACAAATAGCAGAAAATTTTCAAGATAGAATTGAGGTTTCTTCTTGGAGTAACACACCTTCAAATTTTCATTTTGAGGATTCTCTCCCCTTAAAATGAAGTTTTTTTTTGAGATGCTCTTATATCCAAAAAAAATCAGAAAATTTATAGTATGAACGCATTTATATAGAGTTTGGCTGATAAACTTTCTACATATGATATATCAGCGTTTTCATTCTCAAATCGATGTGAATCTAACACGTGTCCTTTAAAATGTAAACTTGCAATGTTTTTCTTTAATATATAAAGATGTGTAAACGAGATCTATGGTTGGGTTTGGGCCTTTTTAATTGTCCTTACGGTAAAGCACCACGCCTTTGTTCGAGTTAAAAAATTCAACATTGGAAAATGCAACTTTATTATTAAACAGTGACTAACGTCTGAAGGTAAAATGTCTTTTCAGTCATTGTATGACATAAAAATTCAAATTTTCTACTAAAAAAAATCTCTTTAAGTTTCAAGTATGATTTTAATTTGCGACATAGGAGTAGTATATAACATTTAGTCGACGTCACCCCATTCATATTCAAATACGGTGAAAATTAATGATAACGGTTACAAATACATTAACATGTCAATTATTTTAATTCAATTTTCAGAAGAGAAAAAATAACTTGTTTCTGTATACAGGTTTTTCTTTTATAAAGGGTTTTCTGTATAATGATGCACACTGATAAAACAATCGAATTATTTTAGAAAATAGATAAACTATTCCAAATTGGTATCAATTGGTGATAAGTAAACGTGACATATCTTTTATATATTCGATTTTTAAAATCGATCATTAATTTTATTGAACTAAACAATAATTAAAAAAATGAGATTAAGATGATGTGCTCGTAGCCTCGTAGAATTTACAACGGTCATCAATCATATACATGCACCAGCGCTATGCCACTATCGTTCATATTATGATATTAACTATAGCATGAAAGCCCTTTTACAAAAAAAAAAAAGAAGACAAAAAACTATAGCAGTTGCAGAAATGAAGCCATGCACAAGGTTGATGTTAAATTAATTTCAACACCAAATTACTAAAACCGATTATTCAAAAACTATGTAGTAAGGGATTTTAATCATTAATGTATAACTTAGAAATGAAAGGGAAAGAAACATGGGGAGAAGAGAAAAGTGATAATCATGTGAAAGAGAGTCTCATAGGAGTTAAAATAAGCAAACTTTGCTTTGTTCCTCTTTTTTCCTTTTCCCACTCTCTCTTTTCATCTTTTTCTTTGTTCATCCTTTTTTGTGATTTAAACCTTCGTTTTTTAAATTCTAGGCTTCTTTTTGGAATGGATTTAGGGTTTATAAAAGGGAGAAAACTACCTTGGGTTTCATATAAAAGCAAAGCATCGAGAGCGTGTGGGCTGTTAAAGATAACCATTCCAAAGTTTTCACCTTTCTATTATTCTTCATGTGATGGATATTTTAGTTAGTTTATGTTCAGAAAAGACATTCGATGGAGTTTCTAATATAAAAATCACATAATTTCAAAACGAAATTAGAACATTTAATATTTTCTTAGAATTGCGTAGGGGTCGTCTTTTTCATAAGGAACATTTTGTTTTGTAAGTTAACTGATTTGATAGACTTAACTGACATTGCTAAATGTTTTTGTTTGCACAAATAAAGGAACAGTTTATTTTTATTTAAATATATCCATCAATTAATTATAGAATTTGAATTTAATTATTCGCATTTATTTGTTTTAGGAAAGAAGAAAATAAAAAAGAGGAATAAAATGAGAATATAGAAGGTGGAAATGTAAATAAAGAAAACAATAAAAATGGTATAAAACACAAATAAAGATTTTACTTTTCTCCTCCAAAGAAAACAAAAGAGTGCAAAGAAAGAAAGAAAAAAGAGAGCCTTATTTACCATTTACCACTTTTGATTCTATTTATTTTTCCTCTTTTCTCTGTCAAATTTCTTTATGACTTGCTTCTCTTCTAGCTCCTTTCTTAACCTAGAGTTCTTCTAGCCCCCATGTCCACACAACACACATTCTCTCACCTCTCTTTCTCTCACACACTACTCAAGTGTCATTTTCTTACATATACTTCACACAAAAGAAATAACCATTCAGTACATACTGCCTTGTCATTGATTTCTCTCTCTCTCTCTCTACATCTCAAAAATCTCTGTAAAAACAATTTAATCTCAAAACAATAGAAACAACATTCTCAACAAAACTCAGAAGTCTCCTCCTCAGTCCTAAATACCCTTTTCTTTTTCCTCCCTACCCACAATAGAAAGATATAGTCTTTGTGTGTTTGTCCGGATTCAAGAAGACAAGAACTAGGGTTCATATCTCTGGAAATCGACTGAAGAATTTCTACAAGAAGAAGTTAAAGCTCTCTTCCATGGAGTTGTTTCCTGCTCAGCCTGATTTATCCTTACAAATAAGTCCTCCAAACAGCAAGCCGTCATCGGCGTGGCAAAGAAGAAGACCAACAACAGATCAAGAAGATCATGAGGAGCTCGATTTAGGGTTTTGGAGAAGAGCTCTTGATTCAAGAACATCTTCTCTAGTATCTAATTCCAGCTCAAAACAAACCAATGATCATCATCATCCTCCACTCGAGGCCCTCTCACTCTCTAACGACTCTCATCATCATCACCATCACCATCATCAACAACACCCACACCTTCTCCCTAATTGCAACGGCTCTAACATCTTCACCCCTTTCCAGTTTTCGACACAACAACAACAACACTTGCTTGCTCATGACCTTAATACTCACTTAAGACCGATAAGAGGAATCCCTCTATACCAAAACCCTCTTCCACATCATCATCACCGTCCTCCTCCGTGTTTCCCTTTCGATCCGTCGTCACTAATTCCCTCTTCTTCGCCCGCTCCCACCGGAGTCAACAGCAACAACAATAGCTTTGTTAGCAGTAGAGTTAACCCTAATTACCACAATCATCAACATAATCATCAGACTCTAAACAGAGCGAGATTGATGCCGAGGTTCCCAGCTAAACGAAGCATGAGAGCTCCTCGGATGCGATGGACAACCACTCTTCATGCCCGTTTCGTTCACGCCGTTGAATTGCTCGGTGGCCATGAAAGTATGTTCCCTTTATCTCTTTTCTCATTACTTAATCATTTAATGGGGTTTTTGATTATTTACATCAATCTAATTAATTAGGAGCAACACCAAAATCCGTTCTTGAGCTTATGGATGTCAAAGATCTTACATTGGCTCATGTTAAATCCCATTTACAGGTAAAATTCTGTCACTAAGAAAAATAATTTATTACATAATTGTTATGTAAATTCATTATTTATATATAAGTATATAGTTAGTGGAAGTACAAAAATAATTTTATGTATATTATAATTTAGTTAATAAATAAACTTCTCGGGTATCGATGCATTTGACTCGGTGACTTCCTTAAATCAGAGTTTCACTCGAGTCAGATCGAATCTTGTTTTCTTCTGATCCTTCCTTCTATATTCTTATCTTAATAAATCCGAATTCTGCTCACCAATAATGCAATGGATGTGTTTAGACAAAAGAAAAAAAAGCAAAATGTATATTCCATACATGTAAATAATCTCTTGTTTTTTCTTTCTTGGCTAGATCTGATGGTCCTTATAGACGATAGACAAGACCTTTTCTCCAATCTTTTTTTTTCTTGGAAGAATAAACTTATCTTGTTACAAGTTAACCAAAATTACTCAATACTACTATTACTGACACGCATAGAACAGAAAGTTGGAGAGAGAACTGGAGGGTTGTAGAAACTACATATGTAATTGTGCTAATTAAATTAACAAACAAATTTCAAGATATTCATGAAAAACATTACTTACTCAATTTTATTTTAATTGTCATTTTAAGTTTCTGCACACAGATTAAAAATATTTAATTTTTCATATTTTCAAAATAAAAGCACAATTATCTATATACCTAACTACATTTTAATCAATAAACAAATAAAAAATAGATAAAACTAATAAAGTCTACATTAAAACTATAAAACTACTTTTATTTTCAAACAATTTTTTTCTCTAAAACGACAAAAAAATGGAACGGATGGAGTACTACTTTTGGTTTCTTATCATCCATTCTTCAACTGGCTTATACACCACAGTTTATACTTACTAGTATATAACTATTGGGGTTTATTTTTTCTTATCATCAAATATTGTTGGTTTTAGTTGGTTATATTCTTAGCCATACCAAATCTTAGGACATTCTAATTAAGGATAATTACCAAATGTAATTTATCTTTCCATAAGAAAGAAAATATTCCAATAAAATATAAAAATCAGAAAGGGAGAGTACAAGAAACACCCAATAAAATATAAAAATCAGAAAGGGAGAGTACAAGAAACACCATCATTTCTCAATGATGAATGGTTTTGGTCTTACATACAATGATAGAGAGAGATGGAAGGTTTATACGTTAACCATGGTTCCATTGTTTTGACCATGGTAAGACACATAAATTCATGCATGGGTACATGAAAATCGTAAACTTCATTAATAATGCCAATGAATGCTTCTGTGTCTGAACAGTTCTATAGTAGTATTTTGTTTTCTTTCTTTTTCTTATCTTCCAATGTGTCTGTATATAATATACAGTACATATTATAGTTTTATTCTCTCCCTTTTTGTTCAAAAAAAAAAAAACTCTCCCTTTTTAATATTGGTTTGTACTATTCAACTGTCCGAACGCAACAGTACATTGTTCTCCTTTCTTTGGTCTTCTTTCATCGCCATACAACTCTTTTTTTTTCTTTTTTTTTTTGTGGTCAAACGCCATACAACTCTAACATGCATCATATAAGGAGGTCCAGACGAAATACTATTTAGACTTCTTTTCATTATTTAGACTTTGGTTTCTTGACTTAATCTAAATTGTAATAAATTACGTACAAGCGTTTTAATTTTGTTTTTGTGTTATAATATCAGATGTACAGAACAGTGAAGACAACCGACAAAGCAGCAGCGTCGTCAGGTTAGTTAGTGATATTAATTCAGATTATTTTGTAGTGTAATTATGAAACGTCCAAAAATTTAAGAAATTTAAGTATATAATGATTGCAACCCTAATTTTATGTGACTCAGGACAATCTGATGTCTATGAAAATGGATCCTCAGGAGATAATAACTCAGACGATTGGATGTTCGATATAAACAGAAAATCTAGAGATAGCGATGGATTGACGAATCCATTAGAGAAATCAAATGCTCTATGGACCAATTCTTCCGGGTACGTACATATACGGTCTAACTGTACATTCATTCATCTTTCTCAAAAAAACTATACATACATTCATATCTTCATACATATATTGATCCATATATGTATATGTGTGTGTGTGTATTTGATATATATATATATATATATATATATATATATATATATATATATATATATATATATATATATATATATATATATATAT